TTGTCCCCACAATCGGGAATTCGAATACGAATCCAGCAACTCCAGCAGTTGCTATCCGAGAGATATATTTCCTGGGGTGTGGTGGTGATGAAAACAATGTATGTATGTTTGTAAGAGAAAAACAGCAGCAAGAGTGGAAAACAACAGGGAAAGAGATATAATTGAAATAAAATGCATGTCATGTTCGAGCTGATGGCTGTCGCTTTTCCCGGCCACATGTGGCGACCCTTGGTGGTTTGCAATTTCCAGGGAATTATGAAAATTAGCCAAGCCAAGCTGCTATTTTGTGCTTTCCTTCGCTCGATCTTCTGGTGCTTCGTTAAGTGAATTCTGTGCAAAACTTATTATTTTATTTGCATACATTTTTATAGAGACAACACACCGAAGAATAAACCGAGCTCTTCGTATCCATGGAATACACATGTGATTTGCATGTGCTGTTCGTCATCGGCTTCATGATCATGATCAGTCGTTGTCGGCTGACTGCCACATATGAATGCAATGCAATGATGACGATCGCAATAATGACGATCATGGTATTCGTAATGTTTGACTGCAATTTACTATTTACACTTCATTTAGCGGCGACAACTTTAAGTGAAATGTGTCCACATTGGCTGAGTGCTGTGCTCGCTTTCCTGTATCTGTGGGATACTCGGCGTCGCGATTCTCCTGCGTTAAACAATAAGATATAATGAGCATCGCAATTGAATAAAGCGGCCCGCAGCTCCAACTAATTGGAAAATTAGCTCAAGTGTGAGGATAGCCCGTCCGAGTGGATTGTGTAAGGAGCGAATCTCGGGAATGGGTTCACTAAAGACTACTAACAGCCAGGTACTCAACTAAAAAGCTTTTTCGTCGCCCCCAGGGAGAAAAACGACTTGAGTTCTAAAGATACACTGGCGTGGTCAGCAATTAATGTAACATGGAAACAAAATAAATATATATTGCGGATCAATTGAAATTTATTCGTAATATACAATATAATAGAATGTACCTATGTAAGTACTATGAAGAACTGGAAATAAGGACTACCAGATACTCGTTACACGACTGATGGCATTGCGAGGGAGATGGAGATATTTAAGCAGCAAGGCCACTTTAACCAAGATTGCCACCTTTTTTGCCTATAACTTTTTAATGCATTGACCGTTTTGAACAGTATTATATAATGTCGGTGTTAGACGGGTTGTGGGCGTTAGAGTGGGCATGGCGTACTGCTGAAATAAGCTTACTTGCGTAAGAAGCTTGAGAATCCACATGCCAAGTCTCAACAATGGTAGTACATGTCTTAAAAATGGGGGAAAAGACGCCTCTAGATGCATGTAAAATATTTTGGGGCTCATATTTTTCCTTATATTTTTTAAAGCCTGTTCACCACATTCAATTTTGTGTGAATAGAGGTGAAGAGATTATTTAAATGCCCATGAGTTGTGATCGTCTTAAATTATGACACCTTAAATGCAAGTCTGTAGAAGGCCATCTGAGCAATTTATTGACATACATATCAATTAAATTGAGTACAAACTATCGAAGACATCTTTATTCAAAACATTAAAAGTTGTCTTTTTTCAAACCGGTATTTACAAATACCACACGTCAGGATATGCAGATATAATTATATACGTCTATATTAACGTAATTTAGTATCCATAGGACTACACCAAATGCAGTTCTTGCATTTTATAAAATCAATAATTTAAAGCACGCTTTGAAACCCAGTTTTTGGCAATGCTTTTAATCACCATTAAAGTAAGCGTGAGCAATACGGCTTATCTGGCGGTCACTCTTAGTTTTTATTATCCCATATATACATATATGTATATACAATGTAGGCATATATGATGGACGATTACAAAACGTTTCTAGACCTCAAGCAAAGTGACATATTGGTTAACTTTATATCACATGTGGCGCAAGGCACTTCTTGAATTATCTATCATGGAAGTAAATGAATGTCTAAAGCGGATATCGAAGAAATAGAAAAAAAATGTATGTGGCTTATTTTCTTTATTTCGTCTACCATTGGGTCTATTCCATCTTAGATAGCGGAAACAGTATTTTTAATTATGCCGCTTGACCCAAAACAAAAACGGACCAAGAACAAAATAAAACGCCGCAATGAATCGAAAAACGACGAAGATTCGCGAAAGCCGAACCGAAGGCGAATGCAAATCAATGGAGTTCGCGTCTGGGCGATAACCCCCATATTATATCAGCAGGGTGTGAGAGTCGCCCGGTCTGACGGTCCTCTGGCCTCTATATACACACAATATAATACATAGAGGCTCGGGCCCCTGAACCTCTCCCATGCATAATACCACGGAATTACAGGAGGCATAAATAGGTACGAAAATAAGTTAATGCACATCGACTAAGGTGACACAAGCCCCATTCAACGCCTCAGCTTAAGCTATAGACAGTCGGGCTGATCGTCTCTATAAATATTCAACAAGTATGAGACGGGGCTTGTAAGCTGGGTTTGCTGGGTATACTTATATGTATATAAGCCACAGTATTTAGTCGCACCGTGGGCTTGCCATTGCGCATATTTAACCCTTCGGGGTTAAGTTAAACATTACGATTACGTTTCACAACGCTTAAAGTTGTGCGCGTTTCCTTTGTTTTTCACAGCCCTACACCCAGAAAAATTGAGAACAAAAAAACCTAGATCGGTTCCTCTCTGTTTGAGAATATTGTCTTCTCTCTTTTTTCTTCTCGATATCAAGATTTCAAAAGCAATCTCGGATTTGAGGTGGTTGAAGAGGACGTCAAGGGAAGACGCAGAAAAAAAGGAGAGTGAGAGAAGAGAGAGACCGAACTCCTCTTTTGAAATTATCGGGAAGATATCGAAGTGAGCTGCGACTCTGTGTCGCTGCAAAGTTTCTTCGTTTTTGAGAACCTTGTCCTCGAGAAAAGCCCCTTCATACTTACAACGTAAGTAAAATCTTATTTTTACAATTTGTGTCATTTTATTCTGCGTTTTTTTACTCGGAAACGTTGTCTTAAGAAATTGAAATCGGTAATGCGTTTTATTATTTACGTACATATTGAATAATAAACTTATGCGCCGAATATTTAACACAGACTTAAAACTGCACGCATATGTAATATATATTATATGTATATGTATGAAATAGAGTCTGATTGTTGTTCGCAACCCATCTTAAGCATGACACAAATGTGGGAGGTATATATACATATGTATGTATAATAATAATAATATAATGTTTTTAGGTGTCGGAGTTTCTTACGAGATCCTTAGGTACATAAGGGATGTCGAAATTAAAGAGGCTATTTTATCGATTAAGATTCATCAAGAAACTACATTTATAAGTTTATCCAATTTGTATCTCCTCTTGTATATCAACTTTATAATGAAATGAAAGCCGAAAGGCTTTAATATAATAATATTGTCATTTTATTATTCAAATTTTATCATTTTTATATGAGTATGGAATCTGGGAGCAAGAACGATTTATGCTTGAGTCCGAGAACGATTCATCTCGAAATCGAGATCGATTCGGTGTTAGAACCGACAACGATTCATATCGAAATCGAGATCGATTCAATGTTGAAACCGAGAAGATTTCATCTTCATATCCAGAGCCATTTGAGAATTTGAGTATGAATAGATCTTGGCTCTCTTTTGAGATAAAATATAATGAAACACTTGAGATCGGGTTCTTCTCTGAGTGTATTTGATGGCATTCCTTTTTCATCTGTGCTCCGGTTAAATTGTAACATTAAATTCATCATAAGCGGTTGCAGCAGGCGGCACGGCCAGAAAATTTTCCTAATCAATAAACAAACTATAAGCATTTATAATGATTGCAGGCTTATCGGTTGGAAAGCGGTCTTATCAAGGCCATGTCGCTCCATTTATAATGCTACCACTTGCTTATGAGATTTTAACAGTATTTTGCTGCCACACGTGACACGTGTTAAAACATCGATCTAAACCAATCGATTTAGCTGTTAAAAGTCTTAAAAATATTGTAAAATAAATAATTTTAATGTTTTTAAAAATGTAGGATGGGTTTGTTTGGATGGGTTTAGACTATGGAAGGGAATCTCAATAAATAATTTACTCGAATAAATAAAATCATCGTAAGATTTTCTAACCCTTAAGAGAATTAGGAATAAAGTATTCCGATATTATGTTCTAGCAAAATATTTTAATAATGATACATTTTAAATTTTATTTAAAATATTTACAAAATAGATATAAACATACCAGGCTCGTGGAACTCCTGCTCCATTTTCTCCACCTTGTTCACTTTCATAAGCTGCTGGCCATCCGTAACGCTCAGGTCCTGTGGATGCTTCATGTTCTGTGATCACTTTTTATTTACAGGTCGGTCGAAAAGATCCAATCACATAGTCGTAAAGAAATGCCCGGCAACTGTAAGTGGGGAAAGGCAATCGATAAGAAGTCGTATACCAATCTATTGCTGGCTAAACCCACAGAACGCCTGGAGTACACCAATTTTTATAAATTTTTAATGATGGTTCGCTAATCGAACTGAAGTATCGCCTGTAAATCTACAAATGTATTTTTTGTATTTGTCATTTGCGCACACAATGTAGGTGTCAACTCGAGTGCCTGACAACCAAACGCTTCACATTACATGACCCCCATCGGATATTTTTAGTAGGAAGGAGTCACTTGTTTTACGATCCCATATCGGCAATATGCCAGACGCACCTGTACTGGGGTATATCGCTTATTGGACTTCAATAAAGCAAAGCAATGTAGAGTGTACACTCCCCAAATCAAATATCTAAACTCACAAAAAGGGGTAACAGGAAAACACAAAAAAAATACCCGAAATCATAATCATCAATGCTTTATTGACTGGCCCAGGGGCAGATAAAAACACTCATTGCGGCCAAATAAAAAACAAAGGTAAAAAATTCACTGACTGCCGATAACGTTGAAAACAGAGTTTCTGACTATCAGACGTTTATTGTTTCTTCTGGCCATTTACCGTTATGTGAATTTATTTTTCGCGCCCGACATTTTGCGAATTTAGCTCGAGTGCCAGAACAGCCGATAAGCCTCATGGGCTCTGTGGGAGCTATCGCCCTGCTTCCCGCGTATCTCCCTTCGAATTTCTCTTTCTTATCGCTTATCGTGGTGCTACTGACGCAGACCCCCTCGACTGCATTGCCAATTTGCCACCTTTGAACCCTCGTGACTGTCGCGAGCCGCTTCATCGGCGCCAAAAACAAAAACCCTAAACACAAACATAACGATTCGGCTGACAAAACCAAGTGTTTATCTCTATTTCCGGCCTGAGCTGATAAACTTAGACATATTAGTCCAGCATAAGACCCTAAAATTTGTAATGTATCACTGGTTCTGATACTCGAAAAGTAATTGTACTGTTCAAATACTACTTTTCCTCTATCATCAGCAGCATAACAGTAAATTTCGTTATTTTAAAACTATACAGGAGTTTTTTGGATTTCACACCTTCCCAGGTACACTTAGAACTAGACTTCAATTTTAGTTCGTATGTTTGACGACCACCATCACTCACAACATCCTCGTTTGCTGTTCAAATCAATTGTGTAAAATATAACTTTAAAAACCGTTTGTTTGGAAATTTAAGTTTTTCTGGCGGTATCTCGATACAAAATTTAAACATGTGTTCACGCGATCCGGCCACAAATCAATTGATCGACTACAAGAATAATGACTCCGAGGTGCAAAAGGAGATCACGACATCCAGTGGAACTCCGGTTGGTGTAAAGGATGCCATACAGACGGTGGGACCGAGGGGTCCGGCTTTACTTCAGGACTTTCAGTTTCTTGACGAGTTAATGCACTTCGACTCGGAACGGATTCCCGAAAGGGTGGCCTATGCCAAGGGAGCTGGGGCCTTTGGCTATTTTGAGTGCACCAATGACATTTCCAAATTCTGTGCGGCCACAATTTTCGACAAGGTTAAGAAACGTTGTGCCATCGCCATGAGATTTTCGGTGGCCTGTGGGGAACAGGGTTCGGCTGATACGATCCGCGAGCAACGTGGATTTTCGGTCAAATTCTATACGGACGACGGCATTTGGGATATTGTGGGTTGCAACATGCCTGTGTACTATGTGAGGGATCCCTCGCTGTTCCCCAGCTTGATCCATGCCCAAAAACGCAATCCGCAGACCCATTTAAGGGATCCCGACATGTTCTGGGATTTTATGACGCTACGTCCGGAAACGCTGCACGCTCTGCTTATGTACTTTAGTGATCGGGGAACTCCTGATGGATATCGCCACTTGCACGGCTATGGAGTTCACACTTATCGCATGATCAATGCAACTGGGGAAACACAGTACGTTAAATTCCACTTCAAGACGGATCAGGGTGTCAAGAACCTGGACAGCCGACGATGCGAAGAGCTAATGTCCCATGATCCGGACTATGCCATCAGGGATCTATATAACTCGATAAAGAAGGGCAACTATCCCAGCTGGACCATGTATATTCAGGTAGGGATATAAATAATAAGGAAGACTACTGTAAGCCGTAAATATTCAATCTTTTTTTAACGTAGCATCTTAATAATATGGTTGAATAGATCAAGTTGCCTCTCTTATATACACACAAAAAAGTCGATTGCCAAATCTAACCAATATAAAAGTATAACGGTCCCCAGCCATCGATTTGTTAATTTTACCCATCAAATAGTTACTCATACGTAATACATTCACGAAAAATAGTTATGTAACCAAAAAAAAGGGTTGAAAGGACCCAAGCCAAGAATTGTAGTTAAATAACTATTTTTATAGTTATCGAACCTATTTATATTTAGGGAATTTTTTAATAGTATATATACCTGTAAAATTGATAGTAACTAAACAAATTCTAAGATGCGTCAATTTGGCATGGTAATTCATAAGCAACATAAAAGAGTCATTTTCAAATTGCACTTTTAATACCCTTGCAGAGGGTATATTGATTTCAGTCAAAAGTTTGCAACGCAGTGAAGGAGACGTTTCCGACCCCGTAAAGTATATACATATATTCTTGATCAGCATGATTAGACGAGTCGATCTAGCCATGTCCGTCTGTCCGTCCTTTTCTACGCAAACTAGTCTCTCAGCTTTAAAACTATCGGGCTGAAACTTTCCCAAAAGTCGTATATCTTTTGCAGGTAGTATATAAGTCGGAACCAGCCGGATCGGACAACTATATCTTATAGCTCCCATAGGAATATTCGGAAAAAAAAATTTAAAAAAATTATATCTTTGGTGCTTTTTAGCATATAACCTCCTAAGCTTGGAAAAAACATTTATTTATTAATTTTGAATTTTGAATTAAATTTTATCGAAATCGGACGACTATATATATAGCTGCCATTGGAACGATAGGAAAATTGGTGGAAAAATAATATGAAACAAATTATAGCTTCGGTGTTTTTTAACATATAACCTCCTACGCTTGTAAATAACATTTTTTAATTAGTTCTTAATTTCGAATTTAATTTTATCAAAATCGGACGACTATATCATATAGCTGCCATAGGAACGATCGGAAAATTGGTAGGAAAATAATATGAAACAAATTATAGATTCGGTGTTTTTTGACATATTATCTTATACTATTTGGACTATCATTTTTTGTATTTTTAAATTTAATAATTATAGCTGCAAGTGACTTTCAGCTAAAGTAAAGTATGTTGAAGACTTTAGAGAATAAATTAAGTAGAATTGACTTTTTAGAGTTCGGGTTAGCAGTCAAGGTGAACGAGTTGCTAGACCCAGTTAGGAGTTATTGGGAACACATTGGAGGAACATTTGTAAAGTTATTATTGCATACTTTTGCGTGGAAGATTTTACGATAGAATAACTATTTTTGATAGTTAATAAACTATTTACTTTTGCAATAACAAAATACACACATCACGTGAGCGTGTTATGTTGATAGTGGTTTAACTATTGAATAGAAAGCAAGGCAATATGTATATTACCAAATAAAACCATTTTTTTTCCAACCAAATTATTTCGTTTGCAGGTTTTATAAAAATATGTATTTATACTTTGTACGCTGTACGTTAGCTTTTTGCTGGAAGTAAAAGGATAAGCAATTCAATAGTTTTAAATATCTATTTTTTCGGCCGAAGCTAATCCAATTCCTATAAAACCCAATTATTAGGTAATGCTCAACGAGGAGGCCAAAAAGTGTCGTTTCAACCCGTTCGACGTGACCAAAGTGTGGCCCCAGAAGGATTTTCCCCTGCTGCCGGTCGGAAAACTGGTCCTTGATCGCAATCCCACCAACTACTTCACGGAGGTGGAGCAGCTGGCCTTCAGTCCGGCTCACATGGTTCCGGGGATCGAGCCATCGCCCGATAAGATGCTCCAGGGTCGGCTCTTTGCTTACGGGGACTCGCAGCGTCATCGCATGGGCGTTAACTACATGCAGATCCCGGTGAACTGCCCCTACAGGGTTAATGTGAGGAACTTCCAGCGGGATGGACAAATGACGGTGACCGACAATCAAAATGGGGCCCCCAACTACTTCCCCAACTCGTTCTGCGGCCCGAAGGAAAGTCCCCGGGCTTTGGGGCTGCAAACCTGCTGCCCCCTGACCGGAGATGTTTACCGATTTATGAGCGGTGATACGGAAGATAACTTCAGTCAGGTCACCGACTTTTGGACCTACACCCTGGACAATTGCGGCAGGAAACGACTTGTTCGCAATTTGTCCGAACATCTCACCGAGGCCAGTCAGTTCCTCCAGGAGCGGGCAGTAAAACTCTTCACCATGGTACATTCCGATTTCGGACGACTGATGACGGAGGCCCTGAACACGGCCAGAATATCCAAATTCTAGAACTATCACAGAACTTGTTAGTAGTACAATGGCGCTTAAATTGTTCGAGATATTGTTTAAAGTTGCTGTAACTCTAATGTCTAATTAGTAATTTACAAGTAAATTGCATCAAGATAGAACTAGGTCTATACTTTAGTTGGTTTTAGTCTCCTGTCTGGCCTTGAGGAAAACATAGTATGGGGGGAAAAAAACGATTTGATTTCTCCAAAATAATAAAAAAGTTTAGCTGACAATTTTAGGAGAAGTCCACTAAGTGGTAGAGTGGGGAATTACATTTTAAATGCTTTATATTCAAAATGGCTTTCAGTTGTTAGGATAGTTCAAAGAAAATGCTTGTATCCATTCAGCTAGATAACTTGAAATGCCAGCTAAAAGGTTTCCTTGCACACGGTTGGGAGTTGACCTTGGCTGACAGCAGGTAATCATCGCGAATCTGGTTACCCAACTGATCTGATGTCAGCGATTATCCAACCCGGATGACAACGCCCTTTTGGAAACACCTCGAGATCTGTCATTAGCTATCCGCTCGTGCCCGGGCGATTCTTTACTCGATTGAATTCGCCCGATAACAGTATAGTTCATCCTTAAAAGGAGCAATGTTGTTGATTGAGTGGCAGAAGCGTTCAGCGACTACTAAAGCGATGTGTGGATACCGTAGAGAACCAAGTGAGTAACCAAGACCTGAACATTTTGGTAATAGATAATAGCTGAATGTACCATCCTTTACACTTCTGTAACGCACTGTACCGCGCACCCCTGGTACAAAACCGAAAAGCTTGTCCAACTCGAATGTTTAGCAAATAGTCGGCTGCCAAAGTAGTAAATGTTGGCAACTGGTTGGGCAACTTGAACGCGGTATCTGAGGACACAGTAAACTTACTTAAAGCTCGATGGCCACACGGAGTTCTTACTATCTTGGTTGGGTTGCTTTTGTTGTGGCTTGTGCAGGGCTTTTATCAGCGATTGTTGTTTTTGTTCTTATAGTTGTTATTGAGTTGACCGCATGAATGAAAGCGAATAGGGAAAAGGCAGACACACACTTGTTGATTTCCTTATGCGATTTTGTGGCCCGTTATAATTAACGTTTCGTCTTTTTATTTACATTTATTTTTGTTTTCTTTTTGGCACTACTTCACGCTGCTCCGTTTTTTAGGGGGCTTTTGTTTGGCTTTTGATTTTTATTATTTTTGCACTTGTTGCCGCCGCTGTGAAATTCATCTCAGGCGTTTCTTAATGAGTGACTTTTTGCAGCCAGTTGTATAACTACCCGCACTGCTTATTCATTTATATCAATCAAAGCGGAATATTCAGCTTATAAACATGGTCTTTGTTTTGCCTTTGCAGTTGTTTCTTTCAACGTCACTGGAATTCAACTACGGCTTCTGTGTGCCGTTACAAAAGCGCTCTTGCGCCTCTCACTTATCACTCTCAGTCTCGCCCCCTCTCTCTGCCTGCTCCGTCTCTTTCTCATTCTCTCTCTCACACACACCAGAACGCAGCTGTTACGTAGTTGTTTTTGCCAAACAAAAATTCCATTTACTTTATAAGTTTAATATGCATTAATTGCATAAATGTAGCGTTTCTTAGGGGAGCATTTCGGGGGTAGAGGGGAAAGTGCTCGACTTGCAAACTGCAGTTGATTGAACCCGCTCTCTTTCACACACACGCACACCCACGTTCCAATTGGAGAAGAGAAGAGAACCCGGCGCACCGATTGACGATTGGCGACTGAAATCAAAGTCGCCAAATCGAACGAAAAGATACAAAATAAAAATAAAAACAACAACCACACACACCGATGCAAAAAGTGGAAAACGCGTGTGCAAAGCAAGACGCGATAATATCACATTTTGTTGCTAATATTCTGATTGACAGAGTTTAAAACGGAGCCACGCGAAGATAGCAACAAAGCGATTCGCAGAGAGTGAGAGTGCAATTGTGGGTGAGTGTTGTGTGTGTGACGTCCATCACGTCAACTTTTAGCGATCGCGGAAGAGCGTTGCCAGTTGGTCATAGAAAGCGACGGTCCGGTGGCACTGCCTACAACAGCTTTTTTGACATCCCAAAAAGCTTTTAAGTGGGCTCGAAATTCAAATTCACGTTTTATACTTTAAAATATCAAACAAACCTTATTATGGATGTAACCATGGTTATCTCAGACATTTGAAACAAACAAAAAATTGTTTATAAAACATTTCCCTTACGTGTACAAAATGGTAATTTTTTGCAATGTTTTTATTCTGTGTGTAAGGGTACGTAGGGTTACATATCTTTTAACTAAAATAAAAGTGGTTGTGGGCGTAATGCGGATGGTTTTTAAAACTTCGATACATTTATGAAAAAAGTAGCATAATTATGCGGCAACAAAAATAGCACTATTAACGGTTTTTGGGTATAAAACTTCATTTGCTCAGATTTGTTGGCTGTTTTTCGTTTTGTTGTACTAAGAATAAGTACTACTAAGTGAATTGGTAAAATAATGAATAAAATAGTGTTCCCAATTGGTCATTTAGCGCGCTGTAATGATACAGATAGAAGGACATTTAAAAAGCTAGTTTATAAAGGCAATGCAAAAGATATTTTAAGTTGAATCGTAGAATTCTTTAAAATAATGATTAGTAGTTACCTAAAACAAGAACACAAAAGAATAGCACGCAGTACGAAAGCCGCAATGACCCCATAAATGTTAAAATGTCATTTGCATGAATGCAAGTAGGTCCCCAGGCGCTTATCAAGTCGCTTTTTTTTTTAATATTTGTAAGTACATAAACAGTTGGATATAATGTACATAAACAAAAAATCTCCCTAGACTGTAGAGCATGGGTGAATTTGAAGGACGAATCTTAAATAAGGCCCACAATAAAAGGAAAACTCTTATACGGTCTGGCGGCTGAAAATTGCTCATGTTTAGATGAAAAAGACTTTAATTCACATCAGATAACCTACATATCCAAAATTGAGTCCCCAATTCACATTTGCAAAGAATAATAATGGTGAAGCAAGTATCATGGTATGGGCATATTCTCGTACTATAATGTTGGTACCATATCATAATGTAAACCCATACAGGATCAACATGTTCACCTTGATAGCTCAAAAATTGTGATGCAATTTTATTCGTAATACAAAATTAATTTATTTTGGAAGCTTTATCACTATTATAAACCAAAACAAAACTGATAGAGAGTCGACTAAAGTATCAAAACCCTTAAGCTAAATTGTATAATGGGGACCTTTCAAGACCCAGAAATGTTAAAAAACTATGTTTTTAAAGCAAAATCGAAGAAAAAAAACTGCCCTTGAGCTATTTTGAAAGAGCCAGACAACAATTTTGCCAAGGGAAGATTCTGGTGTCTAGTGACGTCAAGGTCGGTCGTTGTTGTTGTTGTTGTTGCAGCCCAAGCTTTAGAACAACATTTTTTTACATTAAGATGTATAAAATCATACATTTCAAAAAAAATTTTCAAATCGCGTTATTTTTAAGTTTTTTAAGCCTTTTCTTGAAGTGGTGCTTTTTTGATAAATGTATCGAAATTTTGAAAAACCATCCGCATTGTGGGCATAACCACTTTTATTTTAGTTAATAGATATGTAACCCTACTTCCCTTACAAACAGAATAAAAATATTGCAAAAAATTACCATTCTGTAGCACAAAGAAGAATTGCCTACACACTGGTGCCATTTTTGTTTCGCAGCTGTAGGTACAATTTTCATGCTAGATAAAAAATTTTAACTGAAATGTATTGGTGTCGTCAATACCTATCGATTGATCCAAAAATAAATTTGCCACGCCCACTCTAACGCCCATAACGCTTAAATCTGTCTACCGCCGGTAGGTGGTGCATTTTAATCTCGCTTTGCTGCTTGCATATCTCCATTTCCCTTTGAGTAACGGGTATCTGATAGTCGAGGTACTCGACTATAGCGTTCTTCCTTGTTTTCTCTTGCAAATGTGAAGTGTTAAACGTGATTTTCAAGACTTAGTTTCTTTGGCAATGTTGCTTAGAATTGTCGATTACCTTACCCTGCACACCCTGCAAATAATCTCTATTTTTTAAAATTAATTTAATTAGGCTAGACTGCCCTCCCAAAACGTTTGATTGAGTTTAGGATATGTACACAGAAAAAAAAATATCAAACCTGGCCATCGTACGGGTATCTTTGCGTATCAATTTTGGTCCCTTATGTTGGCATTTCCTATTGATATTTTCGAACATATCGAATTGATATTTTCGAACATATACAGGGGAGTATAAGTATTTTCACAAAAATCAAATCAAATTTTCAAAAAATCATAAAAAGTATAAGCAAAATGATTTTTGAAAAATTCTTTTGCAGTTACTATTATTTTTGTTTGAAGAAACTTTTTGCATAAACAAATTTAAGTTTTCAAGTATAAAAAGTAAATTTTCACACAAATTCGACCTTTTCAATAAGTACTGAATGGGTTAAGAAAAGTATTGAATCATTTAAACGACATTTAAATTACCTTTCCATTGTTACCAATTTAACAAGAAGTAAGTTCAAATTACGAGTATATCTAACTTTTGTTTTGTGAAAATACTTTTGACCACCCCTGTAAATAGGATAGGAAAACCACGTTTCGGTGTCCAAGAAGCTAATAAATGAGAATTAAACTTTTCGTCGAATGTTACTACTGTTTACATACTAAATACCAGAAATTACAAAAAAAACGAAGGCACGTCATACTTTTTTTCAAAGACTTTGCAATGTTACATTTGATATGAGAAACATATCAAATTGATACGAATTCATATCAATATGATAAGATTTGTAATTGTTATGATTTTGTATCATCTCGATATGAATTCGAATCACTTTTAAATAAAAAAAAGTGATATGTAAAAATTGAGGAGACAATCTCAAACGGGTACTGTTCTATTTTTTTCTCTGCGTAGGATTAGCAAGTTACTTTTGTTGTTATTTGTTTAGTCTGACAAAACCACGTTTCGAAGACCGGCACACCCGATAGCTCAACAAGTTTTGAACCAATTTTTTTTAATTCGTTACACGTACGCTACGTAACACTACTGCTGATACGAAGGATTTTGAATGTTTTTAGTTTTAACAAAATTTTTAAATTAAAGAGCTCAAATA